CTCAGACATCTTTATGTGATTCAGTCCGCAATGAAATAATTTAGGTGGCATTTTAAACATTTTGTGTTTAGAATAATATCTTCTAATAAGTTTTTAAGATGTTACACTGTAGTATCCTGGCTGTTATAAAGATGGCGTGATTTCAAAACTAGTGTTTTGTCTCACAGTAATTTCAACAGCAGCTATTTAAAAATTCTTGGCTCACATTCCAAGAAGTCACAAGATATTAAACATAGCAACATTTTAACTTTTTTTACTCTCTGTGTGTATGTATAAAACAAAACCAATAACCATCACAATTGAAAATATGTTAAAAAGCTTTTACACAGGTGTGTGAACCTAAGGACTGATACTTTAAGAAAAGCTTTGTATAACATGATGTGAAGAATTGCTTCAGTGTATTCATTTTTTAGAACAAGTGATCATTCTTTTTTTTTTTTTTTCCCCCACCAGGTTTTTGTATGTGTCTGGAGTGATGTATGAAAGAATTGCAATCAGTTTTTCTGTAGAATATTAATTGTTGTATCAGTTTAGATAAAGAAACCAAAGGCGTTGGTGCTGATAAAGGGAGCAGATGTTGTTGGAGGATTACTCAATTCCTGCTGAGAATCCCATGCAAGCCAATAGGAGACTGGTGGAAGTGGATGAAGGAGAGAAGCTGAGACAGGACTGTAGCTTGGGATGTCTTTTGTATCCCAAGCAGCACCACAACCTGTATGGCAGAAGACTGTGGATAGCCTGGGGAGACCCCCCTAAATGGTTATGGCTACGCTCACAGGCAGGGGGGACCAGTGACAAGCCAGTACTGCCTCTGCTCTCCAGGGGCAGCTGAAGCCCAGCACTCCTCTGCCTGTTGGTGCTCGGCAGCAGAGCTGGCTCACCATCAGCCAGTCCACGAGGTGCCTTTAGCTGGGCTGGAGCCACTGCTGCTCCTGAAACAGCTAAAAAACACGTGGGTGAAAAGGTAGCCCAGAAACTTCTGGCCTCTTTGCTCAGGTAATGTATGACTTGAATGCTGCCCTGCTCCGGGCATGCACAAATCCCTGCCTGCTCGCTCAGAGGTGCCTGTGTGATTTGAGCTTTATTCCACACGAACAGCACCTCCCTTCCTCTGCTGTGTGGGGACTGTTCAGGTGAGTGATAGTCACAGTCACTGTGTTGGGTCAGGAGTCATCCCACAGGAGCAGGCCTCTGAGGAATACTGTAGCTACACTGAAAATGCGTTTGAAGAGACACTGCTCAGTGCAAGTAAAAGTGTCGGAGCAGAGCCCCTAATGAGGGAGAGACCATGGTTTATACACACTAAGTGCACTTGCTCTGCTGAATCAGGTTACAGCTCTTTGCCCAGTCTAGTTTGTGGCAATTTTACTTCCCTAATACACAGACCTAAAATACGCTTTTGAAGTGTTTTCCTTGAGTGTTTATATTTAGAAAAACTGTCCTTGAAACCCAGAATAGAGCCGGCCAGGAAGAGTGAGTAGGTGTTTAACAACTTCAAACACACCACTCCAGGTTCTTTATCTTTCAGAAATGGTGACCCATGGGACCCTTTTCATACTACTGCCAACTTAAAGTACCCAAATGCAGGTACAGCAGCGTACAGATCCTCTGAACCTGCTGAGTAGGTGTGCAGAGGGCCTGACAGAGGTGGGTTAGTTCTGCCTTTTGAGGGGCTCACAGGTGAAGCTCAACAAATCTGCTGCCTTAGCTGGAAATGAAACTAAGTTTGTGCTTTAAATTAGCAGTGAATGAGGTCTAGGATAAATGTGCAGATTGTAGAGGGGTGGCTCTGGTTGTCCACTCGTGCATGCTAAATCACTGGGGGATGGTTGAATAGTTTGTATCTTTACTTATTCCATATTAGGTATGGCTGGGGTGGTGTTGGAGCTAATGTTTATCAGAGTCTTTAATGCTCTGAAACTTCCTGCTGTCTACACTGTTTTCTTCCAGCAATATGAGTTTGGACTTTGCTTATGTGCATTGCAGGGTGACGCAGGAGCAGCTGTCCCCCACCCCCAGGGGCTAGTTATTGTCACACTGTCCTCCCCTCAGGTGTTCTGATGGAACTGTTGCGGGATTTGCACTGGGACCAGGATCAGAGGTCCCATGTGGATTAAACTTCTTCCCTCTTTATTTTTCCTTGATGAGTGCATTTGTGAGGATTCTGTGTGTGCTCTGGTTCATTGCTGTGTCTTATGGGCAGGAGGAGGAGGTGGGAAAGAGGCAGGGACTCCATAGGGTCGAGTAATTGCAGCAGCTCCTGCCTCATCAAATAAGAGAATTAAATTTGGTTTGGTTATGTTAATTATTTGGATGGCTTGTGAGAAAATGTATCGTTAACTGTGGAGCAGAGGACAATGTTAGTAACCTTATCACTTCTCTTTTTGCAAGACAGGACAAGAGACCAGAAATTGTTGCCTTTGGAACAGGGAGGGGTTAGCTAACTGTAAGGTGTGGGCAAAATCACCAGCTGCCTCAAGAGCATAATCTTATTTAAATTACTGAAGTTTAGTGTCTAACAATGTTATGGAATTTGCAGTTCGTTTACAGGGCTTCGGGTGGGGGGTGGGGAGGAATTTCTACATCTACTCCCATTTCCATGATTTTAAAGGGCTTAAATAATTGTAAGCTAAATGTGAATCAAACTCTCCTGGGAGTAGGAAGTGTAGTACTTTGCCAAAAGGTTGTTGATGGGTGACCTGTTAATGGAAAGTGGGAAAGAAAAACTATCTGTTAACAGCTTGTTTTGCCTGTGAACTCATAAATTTTCTAACAGAAACATGTTATCCAGGGTTCGAAATTACATGGGTAGTTGCATGCTTGAGCTGCGGTGCTCTTGATATATCCATTCTTCACTAGGTTGATTTTGTGAAAGGTTTTGTTTCTTCATTGCATTTTGATTTAAAAAATAGTTTTCTATACCCTTTTGGTCCTCATTGGATGGAAAACTTGAACTTTTGCCTAAGTGATGAGTCCTGTGCTTTCTAGCCAAAAATACCTGCTCATATCTGAAAGTGCTCATCAGATTGAGGCAAACTGCAATGGGTCAAAGCACTCTTGTCAGCAGAAGAAAGAATTTAACTTACTCCTTTTGGTTCTTACTGACATTCGAATATGCATACTTTATAGTATTCCTAATTTCCTGCTATTAAACTTAGGTAAATCTTGAATTCTGAGTATAGAAAGTTCTTGCTACTCCAGAAGATTTCAGATTCATGTTACCAGACTTCAGTCTCCTTCCTGTCTGATACTAAATATGATTAAAATAAACGCCTAAAGACTGTAGTTATTCACAGCACTGAAAGCAGAAGAATAAAGCTTCAAAATGAACATCCAAAACTAAGAGACTTGAGTAACAAGGAATTAAAAAACGAGTCTGGGGTACATCTGAGAGGAACATACAACTAAAAGTGTTTCTTAAAGATAAGGCTGTGCTGTGATGGGACATTTTGAAGGAAAATTAGAATCATTTTCTGCTGAGAATGCACGGTGAAGTATGACTGATAGAAATGTTTTCTAGTGCAGCTTTGCTAGCTGTGTGGATAGGGGCCAAGCCACATTTGAACTGCTTCTGAAACCAGACAAATAGGCATTGTTTATCCTAGACTAGCCAAACTATTTCAGAAAACAGTTCAGTCAGAGCAACATTCATTTCTAGTATTAATTAGTTTTCAGAATGACTGTAGAAGGAGGACATTTTTCATCCACGTCCTTTTTGACTTTCTCTTTATTCTCTCTTCCAAATCCCCCTATTCTTCATCCCACTGGAGTAATTGCAGCCATCAGCAATTGCAGTGGAAGTGCGTGTGGAGCTCAGCTGAGCCCTGATGGAGTTGGTGTGCTGCACGCCTGCTGCAGGCAGAGTGAGAGCAGTGTTAAAATGCTAATGCCCTCCCTGTACTAACATTCCTGTTGTTTATACCACTGATGAAGGCTGCAGTGGAAGATTGCTGGAAAAGACTTGATTAGTATACCCTTCTGTTGTAATTAAGATACTGTATTAATTTGAACCAGGTATAGTGTTATTTATTTTCAGCCTTTAAAAAGACCGTTCAGCATTTTCCAAGGCTTCTTACCAACAAGTATTCTTTACCTGTTGTATTTAAAAAAAAAAAAAAAAAAAAAGGGAAAAAAGTCCTTTTCTGAAGTAGCTGTGTGTTGGGTTTGGGTTTTTGGTGTTTTTTTTGTTTTGTTTGTTTGGTTTGGTTTGGTTTTTGTTTGTTTTTTTAAATCTCCTCTGTACCTTTGCACAAGTGGCAGGTTATTAATATGACATTCTTCAAGTTAGTAACACTTTCTGAAAATTATAATCCCAAATTAGTTTTTATTTTTACCTGCAAAAATAGTAAGGACTACTATATCTGTTAAATAAGACATTCAGAAGAGACGCATGAGAAATATTAGTCTTATCAAGAAAACAGATGAGTTGGCAAAAGGAAACATTTTTCTGTCCTTGTGTATCAACAAATTTTTGGACATGTTGTCTTCCTGTCTAACCCCACCCACTGTTATTACTGAAAAATGCAATCTCAACTGAAAGGGAATATAAATCATTAAGTAATTGTTAAAAAATATTTAGCAAAGGGGTTGTAAGTTTTTACTCAGCTGTGTAAATTTCATTTATTTACAAGAATGTTAAGTCACTAGATGTTTATAATCTGAGAATATGCACACCCATGTGGGCTCTTCTCCAAGTTTTCCTGTCAAATGAGACAGAATGTGAACTTCAACATAAAATCGCGAGGAAAAAAATGGTTTTAATAATTGGCTTTCTATCTTTGAAGAGTCTTGCAGCTAAGCTGTAACGTGGTTTTCATTAGAAGGGGTTGGATATGGTTGTATACTCTATGAGTTTTGGACAAGTTTCTGTAAGATAACAACCTAGGAGAAAAATTCACTTGGTAAGCCCCTTACAATATATGGGGAATTTCTGCATGTTTCTTAGTTGTTTTCTCTTTGAGACATTAACCACATTGTAATTTTTTTTTTTCTTTGTTAAGGCAAGGACCCTTGTCATCCATAAGAGCAGCAATCAAGAGATGTAAGTCCACTTTTTCTGGTTTTTTTGAGAACCTTAGTATTGTAAGATTGCTACATCTTCATTTTTAGTAGCTGGTTAACTTCATATGTGTAAACAAAGTAGCTAGCAGGCTTTTGGGGAGCTGTAATTTCTTTCTCTTTCTTTTTTTTGCTTCACATTAGGCCATCTTTTTGCTTTGCTGACAGGCTGTTCCTTCTTGCCAGTGACTAACATTTTCTTATTTATGCACTAATGCATTTGTGCACAGATGTGCTCCATCTCTGAAGAACTTGGGTTATACATACCCAATTTTTAGTTCACTTGACAAAACAGAAGATTGTTTTATTTTAGTAGAAATCTGCAGCAGCTGCTCATTGACTCTACTGGGGACAGGATTAGGCTCATGCACCGGGCTCATTTTGAAAAACAAAAAATTGTTTATATATGTCGAATGAAAGTCAAAACTCTTCTTCCCTGATTTCATCGTTTAACTCCTCTTTCCCTGCTCATGATATTTCCAGGCAGAGAGTTTCTTTAGTTGCATTTTCCAAAGTATTTTATGCTGTTTCTTTCTTCTGCTTTTCATTTTTGTTTCCTTTCTGTTCATGATGTCAGTTTCATATTAATGAAACAACCCTCAAGATTGTGCTATGGGGAAAAATAAATTAGTGTATGTACTACTGATTTGTTTCTCCTGGACCTATTAGTCAGGGGCTCATTAGTATGGATTAGGTTGGAGGTGGTCAAAGGGGATCATGAAAGCTTTATTCAGAGCAAGTCTACATGATGCTGTAGTTAAAATGCAGCACTTTATCTGTGCTGTTGCTGCCATAGATAGGAAACTGGAAAACAGAGAGCACCAGATCACAGAGGGCCTTTTGTGGTGGAGTCAGAAATTGATTCAGACTTCCTAAACCCCAGTACCTCATCTAACTGAGAAACCGTCTGAAATATCATTAAGCAATGAATCTCAATGTTTCTGAAAATATATTAGCAAGTGATACTTTGTTTTAAGGTGCAATGAAGTAAAAAAATAAAAAATTGTTCAAGAAGCCCTAGCTCATATGTTATAACATTATACTTAATATTAATATGCAAATAGCTACAATGAAATAGAAGTACCATGTGAATTATTCAGATGGTAAGCTAGAAAAAAATGTCCATGCAAATATTAAGGCATTGTATATGAAACCATAGTTCTTCGTATCCCAGTAACCATCCATGTGGATGGACCTAACTCAAAAATGCATGCTGAGTAATTCCTGACTCCCCTTGCCATTGATCTGGACAAAGTATGGTGTTCTCTCGAAAAATGTGTGTCCCTAACAAAGTTAGAAATCTATATTTATTTCTTAATCACAACTTATTTCTAAAATCATCTCTAATTTTCAAGGAACATGATAGGTATGTGCAGGGTTTCAACTTTGCAACGTGTGGACAATGCTTTATATGATTTTGTATCGGTAAGTCTCTCCCTGTCTTGTGGCCAAAGAGGAAGAGGGTTTATTTTTCTTTCAGCCACCCTGACTACAACTCTGGATAGAAAGATGGTGTCATTTTGTTTCAGCTGTTTCACAGTTCAGTAGAATTCAGAAAAGTGAGCCAAACATGCTTGAAGGAAGCAAGCATGTGAACATGAGACGTGCTCTGGTGTAATTATTTAATCTCAGCTCTTCAGAAGTTACCCTGGATTTTTAATGATGGTCTCAGGTGAGGACGCACCACTAGATCCAGCTCCCACTAAAATCAGTGAAACTATTTCCATTGACACCAGTGCAGCAACATGCACAAGAATGTCAAAGAAAGTAAAAAGGCAGGCTGAGTGCTGCAGTAGTGAGACAAAGGGGAACGGTGTTTTTGCTCGCTTCTCCATTCTTGCAGAATAGGCTGGCATTAAGGAGCAGGGCTACAGAAGCAAGTCTGCTGCCGTAAAATGTTGGAAGAACCTGCAAGCTTGTTCCAGTCTCATTCTGCCCTAAGCAAATATGTGGCTGAATGAAGGATGTGTAACAGCTTGTACTCACTCTGAGGCTGTGGCTTCCCATTTGGCAGTTTTGCAGCCATTTTTGGCTGTGGGTTTTGTTTGTTTTTCAGTTTTGTTTTGTTTTCTTTTGCTTGGGGGCTCCCTAGGTTCTTTTGGCTCCCATTTTTTCCCAACCAGATCAAGTCCATGACCTCATTCTCTCCCCATCTGCACAAACATTTGGGCTGGCATAATTCAGGGAATGGTGCAGAGGCAGGAACACACAGCCCAAGGAAAGGTGTAGGAAGGAGTGAAGTGCCTTCATAAATCATTACTGTCAAATTTGAGTGAAACTAAAGGCTTGCTATAAGAGTGTAGTTACGCAGATTTTATTCATCAGCAGTGCCAGCCTCTATGGTTCCCAGCAGTTTGGTCAGCTGTGAAAAGGGTATTTGACTTCACTGGGGGCGGGAAGAAAACCCATCACCCACCTAGGTTATTTTTGATCAGCTCCCTCACTGAAGTTGCACAAAGAAGAACTGGAGCTGGGAAGCAGAGGTAGGAAACAGACTGCTGTTGGAGGTGGCACGTTCCTTCCCCTGTCCTGCTGGTGGTCTGAGTCCAGAGTGAGCAGGTTTGGGGAGATAAAATGAACAAAAACTATATGGAAAGTGCTTATTTTTTTATTTAGCACTCTGAACTTACTTACTATGGGGTCATAGGAGTGCTGATGTTCATTCAGGAGGGGACAAAATTCCATGTTTGAAAGGGGAATTGGGCATCTCTCTTAGCTACATTCAAGCATTAAATCAGTCCAGCTCTAATGTCAGACAACCTAACATTTCCCTGAGGTGCCTGGAAACAGAACTGGAAGAAAAGGTGCAAGACTTCCCCCTTGTGCCAAGAAATAGTTCAGAACAGCTTCAACTCTTTTCAGAGGTGCATGAAAATTTCCAATTAGTTTGAATCTCCACTTCTTCAGAAATAGTCTAATCAGATCTTTAGTGAAATCAGACTTTTTTTTCTGGATTTGGCTTGAGAATTACCTGATCCTCTTAGTGTTCCCTGAAGAAGGGCCTCCACGGCTGTGTAACACCTTTGGTATTGCAAAGACTGCAAGCATGGCCTCTTGCATGGGACCATTCTGTCAGCTCTTCTGGGATATTACTTTGTAGGTAAGGGAGGGGCCCATTCTTGAGCCTCTCCTTGAGATACTACAGTGAATAACTTGTTCCTATGCAGCTATATAGAGTGAGAAGAATAACTTCTTACTCTAGTCTACATATTTCACAGGATTGATGGTAGAAATGTCTAGCTTGGTGTTAGAAAAGCATTGAAAGAAGCTGTGTTTTTAAATATTAGCACACTTTCTTGTTGTAGAAAGTAATATTATTACTTTAAAACCTATTAATAACAGTTAATATGAATTAACTGAAATAGTTAATTGGCAGGATCTTGTTTACTCACAGATGTTGGAATGGACTATGGATAAAAATTATCAGAAAAATTTGGAGCTTGATTTCCCACAAAGCTTGGGCTATTTGAGGCTATGTTCCCATCTTTAATGCAAAATGAAACTTGCTTTCAAAACACTGCAATGACAGAACTGTTCAGTATTTCATACAGATTTTCTGATGGAAACATGAATATTATTATGCAGTGTCTATATTGTGGAAGCACCCAGTGCTCACAGCAGGATGGTATCTCTGAGCAGATCCCTGAATGAACTTCGTAGTTGGCTCTATATTGCTTTAAAAGATTGCCTGAAAGACTGTAAATTCCAGCCCAGCTCTCTTCCAAAGACTCAAAACTGCATGTCAGACTTATGTTGCCACCAGCTTATCTGCAGCATCGCAGTTTGTGAGTTTGTGGTGTAATGGTGGTTGTACTTACACAGGCATCTTGATCCCATACGTTAAAATGCCCCCTGTGCCATAATGTGTATGTTTCAAATATGAATGACATACTAAATGCGCTTGAAAAGTAGGACTCAGAGAAGAAGCAGTAGTGCAAGAACATTTGAAGCTGAAGTATACAGCACAAACTGAGTGTCCTTTAGCGCTGCACATTCAAAAATAATTGGATAAAGCCCACTAAATAGTGCTTGTAAGAAACATACACAGAAAATTAATTTGTCACGCGCTGATCTGTCCTCTATTTACACTATTACCATTAATCCTTTACTTGCTTAAATTCTACTATAATAGGTTAAACACATTTAGATGCCTCATTGACACTAATGGAAATAAATAGCGACAATGTTATAAATTGATTTGACATTTTTTTCTTTCCCCTGAGACCGGTAAGATGTAAGAGTATGGATTTTATGCACTGAGCTTTTCCTCTCCCACCCCTTCTTTAACTGCTTTGCTTACCTTTTACTTAAACACCACTAAATGTATGTTTCTGGAAATGTCAACAGTTCTCACCCTGAGCATTTCTTAGTGTGGAAGTTGAGGAGCCAACTAGTTGTCAAGATGTAAACCAGCACTGAAATACATTTCCATCAACTACCCTGATGGAATAAAGGTTTTTTTAAATCTTAAAGCTGTCGTAATTTGAAATCTGGGGTAAAAAATGTTAGCGTGCTTTTTTTCAAGGCAATCAATGAAGGGAATTAAGAATAGATTTACAGAATCAAAAGACCACTGTGGTTTGAGCCCAGAGGGCAACTGAGCACCACGCAGCTGCTCATTCACCCCTTCCCCCTCAGGAACTGAAAGGAGAAAATAAAGCAAAAGCCTCGGGAATAAGGTAAGGACAGAGAAAGATGACTCTATCCATTACTGTCAAGGACAAAAGACAGACTCATTAGGGGAAGAAAAAGAACATCACTTTGACTCAAATGGTAACAACAACAACACTTAACAGACAGAGTAGGACAGTGAGAATCATTACCAAATCCTAAAAACACCTTCCCCCACCCTTCCCTTCTTCCCCAGCTCAGCTTTGCTCCTGATTTCTCTACCTCCTCCCCCTCCAGCAGCACAGGGGACAGGAGATGAGGGGGGTCCTCTTGCTCTTTCCTCCTCAGGAGGAGGACCGTACTCGTTCTTCCCCCACTCCAGCGTGGAGCGTCACTCACGGGAAACAGTTTCTCTGACACGAGTCCTTCCCACGGACCACAGCTCTTCCCAAGCTGATTTGGCGTGAGTCTCCCCGACGTGCTGCAGTCCTCCCAGCACTGAACTAAAACAGCAGAGGCTTCCTCCCCCAGAGTCCTGGTCTCCTTTGGTCACAGTTACCTGTTTGGGCACGGGGTCCTCCATGGGCTGCAGGTTGGGCTCTGCTCCACCACAGATGGCCACGGGTGGCAGGGGGGTGGCCTGATGTCTCACGGTGGGATACAGGGGGCTCCGCTCCGGTGCACCTCCCCCCTTCCTCTTCTTTTCTTCTACTGACCTCGGTGTTCACGTATGTGTCTGCCTCACAAGTCTTCCTCGCAACTCTTCCTCACAACTCCCACTCCTCCTCCCAGGTTCCCCTTCTTAAATATGTTATCACAGAGGCACAACCACCATCGCTAACTGGCTCGGCCCTGGCCAGAGGTGGGTCTGGCTTGGAGCTGGGGGAGCTTTTGAGAAGCTTCTCATAGGGGCCAGCACTGTAACCCCCTCCCCTGCTACCAAAAACCCCACCACATAAACCCAGCACAACCACAAGGCCAGAAAAATGGCTGCATTTTTTTTTCTTTTGTTTTTAAATCAGGTATGTGCCATATTTTAAAAATTCATGTTTTTTCTCATATACTTTTTAATTCAAATTAATTATTTGAAATGGTAAAGAAAGAAAAGCTGTGCAAATATGGGGGCAAGGATTATTTAGAAAGTTTACATTTTCTTTTCCCTAGCATTTGTGGAACTCCAAGGAATGCATAAGAGCAGAAGATGCAGGAGCTTTCACCTCTGCTCCTACTGTGGATTTAAGAGCTTCCAAAGCAAAAGACATTGTAGAACTGTGGTTATAACAAGATGAGACAGCAAAAAGAGGGGGGTGGTTGATGGAAGGAGTGAAGAACTTTGTCAAGGTCCTTAAAAAAAAAATGTTTATATTAAAAGTTTATGTGCATGGAAGTAGCTTGATTCCGTAAATGCCTGGAAGATTTTTTTCTTTCCAAACAGAATGAGTATATTCTGAAAGCATATATGATGGTTTTGATATTAACCTTTTTGATATTTATATCTACCAGTATAGTTGTCTTAAGTGAGTTTATTTGAAATTTGGAGTTTGATGGATTACATAGATGACTCACTGGAGTTTTTTTGCCTATGTTAAGGAAAAAAAAAAGGTCTTTCAGACTTTTTTTAGTTTTTTCTTATTGGTTTGAATATTAAGTAGAAGTACATTTAGGGTCTCACAAGGAAAATCAGTATATAGAATTTAGCTAGAAATAAAGAATAAGAGAATTTGACAGGTTTATCAATTCAGTTTTACATACTTCATTAATTTGCTTTTATTTCTAATGCCCTTATCATTGTAGTTTGGCTTATAGCCCAAGCAGTTGTATTGACTACGTTAACCAAATGAACACTTTCTTCCATTCTCATTTCAAAAGTAATCTTGGAATTGGTTAGTTTGGGTCAGTTTGTTGGGTTTTTTTCTTTAATGTGTGTGTTAGATCAATGCTGTGTTAAAATCCCTGAAGAAGAAAGTGAAGGTGAGGTTTGGGGGATTTTTATTTACTTATTTTAGCCAAACAATTTTTACAGAACTGGCTTAGGAGATGTGCAGTCATGCCCAAAACTTTGAGGTGTGCCTCTCTTTGAGATCAACCTGCCTGCCCATATCTCTTTGGTAGGTGGAAGTATAAATTACAGAATCCCAGCTTCTTTGCATCGGTATCAACCCCTCAGTGTAACCCATTATTTTTGGAAGGGAAAAAGCGCAGACCCAAATAACCCATGATTTTAAAGTAAATAAAGCATTCAAAGAGATTTTACTTCCCTCTCCTCATTCCTACAGTGGCTCTTTGTTGAGCCATACAGTGAACATTTCCATGTTCAGTTATACTCTTCATGGTTAATTTATTGCAAGGAAAACTTCTAAACAGCCGTTGTTAAAATCAGCATGAGGCTAGAAATAAAAACTGCTTTTATTTTAGCTTCTTAAGACACTATTATATTGTGAATAGACGTTACGGTTGTCCTCTTACAGCACTGGCAAGTGCGCTGTCCTTCCGTGACTAACCCATTTGATCGTGGTTTCTGGTGCTCTGTAGCCATGGTTTGTTCTCCTTCACCTTCTCTTCCTCTTCTGTAACCCCTTCTTTTTTTCCTCTAGCATTCATGAATAGCGCACCTCAAAAATGCCCTGTAGAAGAGGTATGTCTGACGCAACACTATGAAACTCTTGAATCAAGTATGCTTTGCTGATTTCAGATAACAATTCTGTGATGACACAGGAACAGCGTAATTGTCAGCTTTTGCATGATAAGACTCTACCTACTTCCTAAATTGCACTTGCTATGCAAAAATTTGTCCCTCAGATAATTTCCTTTTCTCTTTAAAGAAATCAAAATGAAGATACAATGTGGCCAATGAAGAAATTGTTTGAATATAAGTATGTCAAAAATAGAAAAATAAAGAGGTCAGGACTTACTACTTTTATGTAACTTAAAACACAGGGTTTGGAAAAAAAAATAAATGTTACTGAGTTTTAATACACAGTGATTGAACTTTTGGAAATTTCTAGCTGGGAATATTTAATTTTTTCTTTTTACATAAAGGAGGGTGAAATAGTTTCTTACGATTTTGTGCCTTAGTACTTTTCCCTTCTCTAAAACAAACAGAGAGACATTAAAAAGTTTTTAAAGAACAAATCTCAGAAGTGAGCCATCAAAAGCAAAGCCAGATGTGTTTAACACTTCTTTTTATTTTATTAATGGATTGTTTTAACTAAGGAAAAAGAAGTTTCCACTCTAGGGTCACCACAATGCAGAATACAGAAACGTATGATGAGGAAGAAGAAAGGGGACAGGACCATCTCTCTTGGTGGCAACTTGGACATAGAGTGACTTAAACTGATGACGAAACGCCACCCTAAACCTTTTAAAAACTTCTCTGCATATTTAATACAAATAATTTTTTTTTTAATTTGGCCACTCTTAAAATCTGGAATTTATGATCAGATGCTCTATGTTCTCCATTTCATTGCTAGTGGCTTGGTAAGGGCTCTGCTATTATTCTCATCTTATTGTTGTGACAGTATATTTTAAACTCTTCAAAACTTTTGGTTTTTTTCTTTAAATAGCTTCTCGGACCTCTAACCATAGTGAACAGCAGAGGGATAGAAGGTATGATGCTGTTATTTATATTGCAATTAGATGTTATTGTAAAACTTGTTAGGTTGTGTCACAGTATTACTTTTTATGGCTTTCTCTTCTTTTTTTTTTTCTTTATCCTTGGTGTGTTTAAAAGCAAATTAGACTTGGAATAAAATGAAAACACCATGATTCTTAAGCACAGGGTAGGCTAAGAGTTTGAGGATTTTTCTCATAAACTTGTGTGTGTGTCCTCAAAAAAAGAATGCAGCCAACCATCAAACCTCTGTAGAACTGTTTGTTTCCTGTAATCTATTTACTGGATCACTTCACAATGAAAATAAGCACACTGTAAGACCTCCTTCCAGTTTCTCAAAGGGTACTGAGAAAGAAGGTCACCAGCCTGGATAGCTGGTGAACTGAGTCTGTCATTATTTCAAGTGCGAGGGAACTGTAGCCCTCTTTTTAAAATTCTTTTTACAATAGTTTTAGAAGATCCATTTCCGCAGGGTTTTTTTTTGTCAGCAAAGGCTTCTGTAGCAGATGCTTCATCTACTCAGAAAACTCACCTCTCAGAGTGTATTTTGTGTGAGACTCTAGATTGACCAGTGGTACTCTGGGGGCCGTGGTCTGGGAATGTGGGCCATCACTGCAACTGATGCTCTAAAGCAGTTGTTACAGTGATAAAACGGGGGTAGCACTTAGGGGTCCTTAACTGTCCCAGAAGTTCCTATGGTTCTAGATGCTGTAAGCAAACAGGCCCTGTCCCAAAGGCATCGTGAGGATTGCTCTGCCCCACTTGAGCACAGCGGGAGGTTTCCCTGGAGGTCTGAGGATAGACAAGCTTTTAGGTAGCCAGCCAGAAGCAGTTTTAACTATCCGACTGTTTTCCCATTGTAGCTGGCTAAGGGGAAACACGTGATTCGTTCTCATTATCCCGTGAAGACTAAGACTTCTTCCATCTAATTGAGTTACACTTGTGTTTAAGTACTTTAAGCATGTAAATTATTTCACTGAAGCCAATAAACCTACTTTTTGGCTTAGGCATTTAATTAGGTGCTTTGAATGGAAGCCTAAGTGCTTGTTAGAAAGGTCAGGTAAGTTACTTTGAAATCATGGAAAAAGATCTTTGGTTAAATCAAAAAGACCTGAGCTATTTTGATTTTCCATGCTGAGCAAATCTTGGTATTTTATACTTAAAAGAACTTCAAAATGTTTTAGGTAATTATTCACCTTTGCCTACATTTCTAGGCGTCCTGAAATTACAATAGTTGCTGCTGAACCCCTCCGGCCATCATCCTGGTTTCCAGGTGCAAGCCCTGTAACTCCTCATGGATTAGGATTCCCTTCTGCTTCATCTCATGCTCAGTGGAGGAGAAATGAGCATATTCCAGCTGAGGTAAGTGAAGTTTTATATGAGATGTGTTTGATTTACAAAGGTAAAAAGCATGTTAAATTAGAGAGTAACATAGTTGTTCTCTCAGACTTTCATCACGTTGAATAAAAGACTATGACAGTGTTCTTTTCCTCTGCATACGTTAATTTAGTGTTTTTAAATTTATAGGCTTCTTTTTTTTTTTTTTTTTTTTTTCTTAAGGGATCACATCTCGATCTACATTAATATTTATCTCTCTGTTTTGTAGCTTCCACCATCATATGAGCAGGTGATAAAGGAAATCAATCAAGTGCAAGTCAATACAACAAATAACAATAATGCTGCTGCTCCTAGACATACCACTACTTCTGCAACACAAACTGACTTTCCAGAGGAACTAATCAGCCATTTGCCAGGAAGTAATGTAAAAACTAATGTGCCCACACACTGGGAATCTGCAGGCTATCCAGGTGAGGCAGTTTTGGATTTCTCAGTGATGAAAACCTTACTCTCTCTCCTAAAGAAATTCTTTATTATTGGTCTGTGCAGCATTTAATATGAATAACAGTTAAATTTCTGTGAACGATTACTGCTATAAATTGCTGTAAAAATCCTCTCTTCTGAAGAACTACCGGTGTAGTCACGGTCAGACTATAGTTAAATCTTGACAGTTTTTCTCAAGTTGGCCATAATGGCAATTGGTTTGGGGCCAGAGATGCTCAGATATCCAGTCAGAATAGCAGTAGCGTTATACATTCAGACTGAAAAGTACGCAAACCAAGCTGGGAAGGATTACTGTACTGTTCTTTGGGTATGCGCCTCATGCTGCAAGCTAATGAGTAGTTTTGAACACGCAGCATGTAGTACCATGCATTTCAGAAATCTTCAGCCTCTTGCTAGAGTTTGTATATTTCTTTCATTCATGGTTTTAGGAAGAGAATTGCAGTTTCATAAGCAGCAGTAAGTTCTGAATGAAAACTGTCATGTTTACCATCGTGATGGCTGACAAAAAATAACATAAATAAAGCATTCTGGAATAGATAACTGAAACCTTTTATTTTCTGTCAGCAGGGCAGAGTCCTCTTAAACCTCCTAGGCCTTCTGCATCTCTCCTGAATAGGTCTCCTTCAGAAAACGAGAATCCCTTAATAGTCTTTGAAATTTCTGAAGGTCAGAGATGCCAGGAAGATCTCAATGCTGTGATATGTCCTGTGCCAAAGCCAAGATCTAGAAGCAATCTCAGACCTGTGGTCAAAAGTACTGAAAATAAGATAGACAATGGAGAAGTGAACCAGTCTACCACAAAAAGGCAGCAACCTCCAATTCAGCAGTCGCCTCTCTTAAATGATAGCTTACTAGACAATCATTTGGCGATGGACAGCATGAGTACAGAAAAGAGCCAAAATAGTATTGTTTCAAGGATCAAAGTATTTGAATCGCAAGGAACTAATGATACCTCAGGATTATCAAAAAAGCCAGAAATTGCCCCTCGTTCATTCACCCCGAGATCTGTTACTGCAAAGAAGCCAGTAGTTGCTCCAAAGCCAGGGGTAAGCAGAATTTCAGGAGACTGGGATGCATGGACAGAAGGCAAATCAACACCTTCCAAGGAATTGCAGCCTCAACCTGAAGTAGTTGGGAGCAATCTTGTCACCAAACCTGAACTGCCAAAGAAGCCAAAACCTGGCCTTGTTAAAAGTAGTAGTAGTGATTTTCTTGATGCAAGGAGTGGATCAGTTGCAGAGAACAGTGAGGGACAGAAGAAATTTCCTGTTCCTGCTCCAAGGCCTCTCATTCCTAAAAAGTCACGTTATGCAGAAAATCCTGCCCTTTCTTTGGCCCCGCTAAAACCGATTGCTGCTCTCCCACGGGCTTCTGTATCCGCCCAAGAAAAAGTTTTCAAGTCTCTGGGGGAATTGCCACCTGCAGCCAACTCTTCAGCACCTGCCTTGCAAAGCAGAGGAGATGTAGAAGGAGATTTGATCAGTTTTGATGATGATGTTTTGCCCCTAAGTCCAGCTTGTGTAGTTAAAGATAGCATCAGTTCTGAAGCAGCAGCAGGTAAGAAGAAATTTTTTAAAACTGTCACTGTGGTTACTTTTTGCAGGTGTATGATCCTGTGTGAGTTATGTCTACCTGTCTTGACAGGATTTATGTGTGTATATGAAATTCTTGGTTTTCTATTATGTCAAGATCACTATGAAATTACTTGGATTTTGAGACTCAGGAGGTTTCAAGGCTATATAAATCTCAGAACTTGCCTACTGGATTTATTACGTGATTACTAAAATAATGATAAAAGACTTGATTGTTATACGGTAGATGTCACCTCCAGAACATATTACAAATCTCGCTGGGGAACTTGGGACATCTTTGCTCTCGCCATCTAATCTGACTAATTTATTCGAGTGTCCGAAGTTCTGTAGTGGATACCTCATCATCTAGAGGAGCAGCAATTTGTTGCATTTAGGGAAACTTGTGATCAGACATACTGGGATGCTAATTACTACATCCCAGTACAACTATAGTTTAATTACCACAACTGCATCCCATTCATAAACCTTGTTTGATTCCATTAAGCACTTGGGGTGGAATTTTTTTTTTAATGTTGTTTTAGGTAGTTTGACACAGGTGGGTGTTGGGCTGTTACTACATTTTACAGCAATAGCTTTTTCCCTTTTAGTATTCAAGTATGTCTTGATGTAGTTTACCAGCCCCCTTGCAATCCAGGGAAAGTTCTGCTTTAAAACAGGTGGTGTGTCATATAAAATGCTTGTTTAAGGGACTAACTTTGATTTTAAATATTACCTTTTTAAGCCTCATTTATCATTAAGCATCTCAGCTTTCTGAAAAGAGAAGCATAGATACTGTGTAGTTGTCACAGTAAATCTATATTAATGATTGTTAACAAATGTGATTTCTTGAGAGTTTGTGGATTATATCGTTAGATGAGGTTCTGTTTTGTTACTGTTTCTCCTCTGTACTGGCATAAAAACCCCTAGGCTGATGTAGAAAGTCCCATAAAGCTGCAAATTGTTAAGATCAGTATGTATGGACATAGAGATCTTAGTGGAGCTTGTGAAAGCAGTGAAATAGGGCAGTAGAAAATCCTGCAGGAGAGGCGATTAGCTCAACATGGACACAAGTCCATTTTTTCTTGGACTGACAGATTCCAGGAATTCTGCAGAAGCTGTACCAAGTCTGGAAGGAGGCAGGAGTGACTGGAGAGACATTTTGTACTTAGGTCAAAGAAGTATATGACTGACAGTGTCTAGCTGGGAACAGAGTTCATGATCATAGTGGTTGGAGTTTGGAGTCATGGAACAGCCACTGTGCATGTGATGATTTTAGAAGAGAGTTAGAAGTGTCAAGGGATGAATCTTGTTTTCTGTGCATTTAGGGTAAAACTTGTAGTTTCAGTCATTTTATTTTGATTAATAGATGCAGCAAACAGGGAAAATGTAACTGATCTAAGTAGTAGGCAAGAAATGACAATACTTACATCTTGAAAGTGCGTAAAAAGGAAAATGATGTTTTGGCGATGTACATTAAAATACTGCCTTTCCCCCAACCTGGAAAAATGAAGTAACATTAATTCTTCTGTTAAATCAGAGGTTGAGTGGTCCCAAAGGAGTATCACCTGAAAAAACAGCTTTCATGATGAAGTGGTAAGAATGTCAGCCTTCATCTTTCTGATTGGTGTCCTAGGTGTTACTCTTGATTTAATTAAGAAGAAAATACTTTCTGTTCTCATGATTAACAGAAGAATTATTCAGACAATAGTTACCTGTCTTCTTGAGTCACCTGTTCATTATTTTATTCATTCAATAAAATGGCATCTTTACTGCAACCTCTTCTCTACCTACTAAAGAGAAAAAGGTCTGACAGCGTTATCACTTTATTACATTGTAAAATTAGGATTCATTCCAGATTTTTGCAGGCATTTGTGAGCTCAAGATCATATCCTGTACTCTTGATTACTAATGCGTGCTATGTCTTGACAAAGCATCCACAAGAACAACACTGGCTTTCTCAAAAATGAGGCAACACAGAGCACTAACACTAGCTATTTCTCATGTTCCCATAGGAACATTTTAGGATTTGCAAGATGAATCTATAGTAAAATGTTTTGTAAAGGCAGGAAGAGAAGCTCTAATCTTGCTCGCCATTCCCCAGACCTTTGCATTTCTTACATATTTGTCATTGTCATTACTTAGCAAAATGACAGTGCTCTGCTTGTTGTTATGGCAACCCTAAGAAAGGAAGAAGGCTTTTATGCAGTGGTGTTTGACAAACAAGTGATTGGTGCTTAGTTTCAAAGAGCAGTGTTACATCACAGATTACACCGTTCACAAAACTTAATTTTTTTCTGATGCAGCACAAACACCTCTGGTACATAGACTAATGTAAATAGAACTGGATGGATCAATCACTGCTGCTGCTAATGCCTGATGCAAAAGTAAGAAGGTGAAGCGTTCAGTTGACGATGGGGAGAGCACAAAAGTTGAAGTGAGCATATGAATGAAAAGATGAAACGGGTGAAACAAATTCAGAGTCTCCACAGCAATTTAGTTGGCTGACGTAAGACATCAGCTTCACCAGTTTAACTGGTAGTTTAAATACCAAAGCTAGCTAATTTTTTTTTTTTTTTTTTCAAGTTTACCGCAGGCAGTTCCATGGATTTCACCAGTGTTTGAGAGCATCTCCAACAGCATGGCTGTTAGTAGAATGAACTTGCCCTTATCCAAACATTAATGATTTTATCTTTGTCTGACCTATATGGAGAGGGAGAACTGTTATGGTGCAAATAGAAACTCTGGGTACCAAGATCCCTTTCAAAGCTTTCAGCATCCACTCTGCCAGTTGAAGTCTGTGGGAGCTTTGGAAGCCCAACAGCTCTGAGGTTCAGAGGTAAACTGTGGCAGAACCTTGCATCCAACTCGTATCTTTGATGCTGGCCCGAGGGAAGAGCTGGGAAGAAGTCAAGAATGACAAATCTGTAGAACTGTGCCTTTCATCAGCAGCCAAAATTGATGCCGGTTTTAAGTGCCATACTTTTGGACTCAAAGGCTAGAGATAGTGTTCAAAGTCGTTTATATCCTAATGAAGTTACTCCTGTTCAAGTCAGTCATTTAGAATGTGAAAGCATCTGTTTGGGACTCTAAATCTTGAGGTGTTAATGCTTTGATGACATTTGTGGTATTTTGGATCTTCTGGGGTATTTTTACATTTCTTTTATAGCTGATAAGAGGGATTTGTGCAGTTCTTGAAGGTTAAAAATTTCAGTAATGTGTCAGGTGGGCTTTCTTGACACTAATCCATTTTTACAAAGTCTCGGAAATGAAAACCTAGTGCAGGTTGAACTAAATACCATGGCTCCAGAAGATCCCTTAGTTTACCCATAACTTGCACTGGTGTTTTTTTTAAAGCATGTAGTGTGTCTGCTTGCTAAATGTTCTGAGAATGTGTGTTTTGGACAAAGAAAATAAGGTAACAGTGCTTTTTAAGCACACATTTAAATTAAAACTTGGAGGTGATCTTGTTAGAATGTTTTAATTCCTTTTCACATGTGGAGAATTCTTCTTCTCTCTCTCTAAACCAGCATATAATTCGCTGATTGCTCTACGCCTGATATACCAGAACTCAATTTAAACCAAATGCTTTGAAAAGTAGTTCAGAGAGATCCTTACCTTACCGGTAGGAGACAGCTCTCTTCTTATATCTTCATCATAATAAGTATTTTTCAATTCTCAAATTCAATTCCAGAAATACTGCATTTCTTGATTGTTTTTTCTATCTGTCTACTTCATCACAGTATAAATGTGCATTTCTGCCTGTATAGCAAAAAAAAGCCTCAACCAAACCAGTGCTGCTATCCATTTATATGTATTGTTCCTTCTTGTGGCATGAATGGTGGAATTTGTGTGACATTGTAGTCAACGCAGAAAAACTGCTGCTTGAGTAACTCCAGATTTATCTGCTGTGGGGTTATTTCCCAGCTGCTTGGTTTTAATTGCTTCCTCAGGAAGAGGGGAAAAAAAAAAAATACAAACCAAAACCCCCACACAAAAAAACCATGAAATATTTCTGACTGGTAGATTAGTGCAGACATATCTTCAAAATAGTGTAGTTTTTCTTAGGGCTCTGATGACTCTTGTGGTTATTTTAAAGTTACCTGTCTCCTTTTTTACTTACTGCCAAAAGTATCATCCCCAGAAAAGAGTGAACTGTCTCATCCACTGTAATCTGCTATTTGACTTAAACTCCCAACAAAAAGAGATTCATCTGAAGACATGCTACTGTGGGTGGGGTCGTGGAGGTATGGGTCTTAGCTGTGTCCTGTTGGTTTTGCTGCAAGGTTGGCAATTTCCAGCAGAAGTGGTAACAAGAATCCATTAACTCTTCAGAAGCTATAGGTGTTTGCTTAGTAAACATAGACTGGAGCCTTCAGGGAGCTTGGAACTGACTCCACTGTTACCACAGTAGAGCACCTTATGTCTAGTTTCAGGAAACAAAGTTTTAAAATCATAGCTACGTAAGAGATGAGGACCCCTTTAAGTTGTCAAATGCTAATGAATTTGCTTTTGAGAACCACGTCTATAGATGATGTTAAGTGGTAGCACACAAGTAATAATGTTCTTAATAATAACTGCCTTCTCTGATGACTAAATCTGTTTGGTTTACAATAACACTTAAAATGGAGCTATCCTTTGATCAGAAAGATTGTCAAAGAACAACAAAATGCTTTTTTGTTTTGCTGAAAGTATGTGAGATTCTTGCAAGAGGTAGGTATTTTAATCAACATTATAAATTCCCTTGTCCTTCACATTTTCACTAAAAAGATTTTGTATGCCTACTGCTTTCTATCATCAGCCTTCTGTTTTGGAGATTTCCAGCTTGCCTGTTTTGGGGCACTTGAATCTCTTGCCAGTGAACAAGCCTTCATTTCCCTGGCAAGAACAGACAAGGCTGTCTTTCTTAATCTCCAGGGTAACTTGGAGGTTTGTTTTTTTGTTACCCACTGTATGTCCAAATACCCTCTGGCATCCAATTTTTGAAGT